TTCTGATTCCCATTCCCTTATTTGTTGTGTCACATTAAAGTGGAATGGCCATTCTAAGGCATTCCCAGAGAATGCCTATTCCATCAAAAAGGTGGAATGTCCATTCCTCTTTCTAAGACGTGGAATGGCCATTCCATTCCCACTTATTCCCAATAATAAAATAATTAAAAAAATCAAAGACAAAAAAATACCCTTTTTTTTTTTTTGGCTTTGTTTCAAGCAAGTTCTACCACCAAGATCTCTCTCTCTCTCTACTATACCAAAAATCCTTTTAAATTTGTTTCAGACAAATATATCTACATGGTTGATCTCTCTCTCTCTACGACACCTTCTCTTTCTCTCTCTCTTTGTGGGAGTCGATCTGCCTAATGCTTACGGCTACTGCCGGTAACAACATCGTCAAAATCCTCCAAAGGAAGGGCGCCATCATTCTTCCCCCTCTCTCTTTCAAGATCAAGGCACGTTCAATTACTTTCTTTACACATATATATACATTTATTTATATATCTTTCTATATATCTGAGTAGTTTCATTTTGTGTTTTTGTGAATCATTTTGATAGAAGAAAACACGAGATTTGATTCTTTCGCTAGGGTTTAGGTGTTGAATTTCTAGATATGCTATGATTTTCTAATTCTATATCTGTGAAATTTCACAATTTGATGACTTTAATGATTGATTTGTGGTTAGTCGACTTTGATTAGTTGATTATGATCTACTTTTTGATTGTGTGTTTATGTGTATAAATTGCTTCAACTGGATTATTTTTGTAATCCAATGTTCCATCTTTCGTATAGACGTCATCTTCTGCCGCGATTACGGTCCATCTTTAGTATAGATTTTATCTTCTGCCATGGAAGTCTAGAAACTAGATTATGCTTGATTTAGTATTCTATTTGTTTGGGAAATTGACTCAAAGACCGAACGACAGTGGAACTCCAATATGTGCCGAAACTGCAGTAACTGTAGAACAACAAGGCAAATAAAATCTTCATAAGAAATAATTTTCAATTATCAAAGACGGTACATGAGAAACATAACCCAATTTATCAACAATATATATTAGACATATTCCTAGTGTTCTTTTCTTCTAACTTTTGGCAATCATGTAGATTCAATCACAAGATATATACAACAGAAACACAAAACTGAAGGTAAAGGTACAATACAATACGGAATATAAATATCCATATATAGATATAACTCAGAGGTGTAACTATCATTTCAGACTAAGAGGCTAATAAATAAAAATAAAAAATCTAGGAACATAACTTTGAATAAATGAATGGAAAAGGATGTGCTCTAATCTCTATATGTTTGATGTGTTTGCTTAGAAGATAAAGGTGTTTCTGTAACATTCTAGTGTCTGTTGTGCTGCTGTTTTCTATATAAATGGTTACTCAGTAAATTGTTAATGTCATTTGACTAGTGTGTGTCATTCCAATTTTTCCAGTATAATTGCAGAATTATAGTGAATACTACTATGATATTTTAATCCTTTTATGCATTCAAATTTTGTTAGATATTATCTTCAAAAAATTATAATTTGACTGTTATATGTAAAGTTTACAAGTTATAAAAAAAAATTTTAATGCAGCAATGGCACGACTCAATTTGGCAACAAAAAAGTTGACAAGAAAAAAGAAAGTTATGGCACTAGGAACAATATGGTCAAACATAGAGTATGCAGTGAGTTGGTGGCTTCAACTAATTTATTGCTTAATGGTGTTTTATATCCAAAAGCGTTCTCTACATAGGAGATTCTAGAGTGCTTCGAGAGGCAATGGATAAGAGAAATGGATTCAATGTCCCTCAAGGTAAGAAACTTGTTTATACAACAATGTTCACACTTTAGTTTATGCTTAAGTATAAAAAATTATCACTAAAACTTATGTTATTATTAAGGTTACTACTATCTTGTTGATGCTTGATATACAAATTGTCAAAAATTTCTTGCGCCATATAGAGGACAACGGTATCACTTGAATGATTGGAGGGAGGGTCACCAACCTACTACACCTCGTGAATTTTTCAACATGAAGCATTCGGCAACTAGAAATGTAATAGAGAGATGTTTTGGACTTCTCAAGTTACGTTGGGCAATTCTAAAGAGTCCTTCATTTTATCCAATTAAGATACAAGTTTGGGTTATTCTAGCTTGTTGTCTTTTACATAATCTTATAAGACAAGAGATGCCAATAGACCCATTGGAAGAAAGTTTAGAAGCTCAGGAACAAGTGATAACTGAAGCACATGGAGAAACTATTACGACGATCGAAACATCAAATGAATGGAGTACTTGGAGAGATAACTTAGCTACTCATATGTTTGATGAATGGAGGGCGAGGAGACAAGGGAGATGAATTTTTTTTTTTTTTAAAAAAACTTCTATTTTCTTATCTCATTTTAGATTTTGAGTTGCACTTTAAGAAATGTGATGTTACTTGAAATGTTAGTATGTGTTTGTGTTCCATGTACTTATTTGTAGTTCTATAAATGCTACTTAGACTTTTGGATATAGTTTTATGGTGTTAAGTAAACTATGGTTCCTTGTTTCGGATTCATGCTTGTGGTGTTTGGTAGTGCTACACTTTTAAATCTATAAATGCCATTTGGTCTTGTGTTCCAAAAAATGTACCAGCTTGTCAAGACTTGATCTCTAGCCCAAGCTTGAATATGATTTTTGATGCATGCTAGTGGTGTTTGACAGTTTGTGCAATATTGAATTGCCAGGAGGACATTTTGTTTAGCAGCTATTTAAAAATATTGTTGACTCCCAGCTTATGCATTTTAGTTATCAATGATATATCTATTGTTTAAGGATTTTCTACATAATTTTTATTTTCTAATGAATACCACTGCTAAACATTTTTTATCAGCTCCCATATTTTAAAGTGAAATTGTACAATATTTGATATGTCTTTTTTACTTTAATATAATATTTATAGAATACTAGTTAAGTTTAGACAACAAGAAGTTTAGTTTTGTCTTTTATTATTGCTTAGTATATTTCTTTGAAAAAATGTAATTGCTCTCTCAAAGCCTTTCAAAATTGCTACAAATTTCATTACTTATAAAAAAGGTAATTACTTTTTAGGGCTCTAATATGATGGGTTCACAATAAATAAAAGCAATTATTTGTGAGGTCTCGGGTTCACAACAAATTGTTAGTCTTTTCTTAAATTTTTAATAGATTTTCTTGAATCAAGATTTTCTTAAATTTTGTAAAATAATTATAATTTTCATAGATTTTACAAAAATGCATTAGTTGGTATAAGCTAGTTATATTTTATTTCATTTTAAAATAATAAAATATGTCATTTTGTTAATATAATTGATATATTATAAGTAAGATTATTTTGGAGAAACTAATTTAAAAGTTATTCCATTCCAACTTATTAATTGATCTAACCAAACAGAAAAATGAGAATGGTCATTCCGTTACTATATCATTTTCTGTTTGCGGCCAAACAGTAGAATGAGAATTATCATTTCATTCCTGCTCACCAAAAATAGCTTAAGTCTAAATTTCGTTTCAATTCAATTCAATTTTTATATGCAGCCAAAAAGCATGCACACTCACAATATTACTCTAATAAATGTGGAGCACGTCTATCATCTAGCCTAATGTCTACTTAGAAGCATCTCTTGAATTTGTTCTCCGTGACACACATTTACATCTTCTTGTTTTACGCACTATATATATATATATATATATAAACTTTTCATGAAACGTGGTATCCCACAATTATTTTTGTTAAGACTGGGGAAAAGCTCAAGAATAATCAAAGTTGTTTGACCTCTAATTACAAAATTGCTTAATTGATTACCATTTATCGTAATCATAAAACAAAGACCTACTTATATACCTTGATGAAATAAGTCAAAAGACAAAGTAAAAATAAGTCAAAGACAATAATAATTGATGAAAGAATAAGAGAGGAATACGAGGCATTATTGCAAAAATACACGGAAAATACGCACAAGAATTTTGTGAAATTCTTGTGCAATCGCTTCAAAATCTAATCACAGCGGATGACTATGTTCACTGTCTGTGATGTACATAATGACAGTAGTGCCCTCCTCACCGTTTGATTTGCGGACCCACCATTGATCATTAACAACTTCATAATTTTTGATTTGTAAGGAAAGAATCATTTGACATGCATGTGATGGCTTTGTTTTTCCTCATTTGGTAGATTGCTTAGTTGATAAAAAGTTAATAAAAACGATCTTAATTATAGGAAAGGTCAGAAAAAAGCAGAGCGTGTTTTCCGGTGCAAAGGACGAATAAGCAAAAGCTGATGCTCTACCACGTGGGTCGATGGGGACCGTCCGATTGACATGCAACGGCAGAGATTTGTGGGTTCTTGATATGAGATTTATTGCAAGCAACTGCTTGATAACTGTAGAGAAGTGGTGGTGGTGTGATTTAGATTTCCAGCCTGCACAAGGAGTGGTGGGTGGAGTACTACTCATGAGTTGTAGAGAGAGAAAGTGTGTTAGAGAGAGAAGTGTGTTAGAACAACACTACTGTTGGTTGTCTTAAATCGAGGAGTTGCAGGTGAGGAAGAGGAGTTGCAGTGGTTCATGGCGGCGTTTGCAGGGCCGTGACTTTAATGCATCAAAGAAACAATGTTAGAGAATTGAAGAGAAGAAGCCAAAAGAAGAGTGGATCATCTTTTGCCCTAAAAAATTCCCAAACTTTTTGTCCTCAAAAGTTGCAAAAAAAAAAAAAAAAAGGAAAAAAAGAAAAAAACAGCAAGAGAGAGAAGATCGGGAGATGGAGAGATCATAAACGCGCTACAACTATATATATATATATATATATATATATATATATTATAGATAGTACTCAGTAGCTAGAAACCTCCAAAGTGTAAAACCCACCAATCAACAACGGATCTCTTTTCAAAATTAGAAGTAGTGGGGTTTTGTTATGGATTGTGTGTTGACATTGATTATTAGGTACTCAATAATCTCAGATATCAAGTGTGAAAAATGTCTGCATTTTTCAAATTAGGAAGTGGAAGAAGAGGTCAAGCAAGTACTGAAGAAGAAGCACAACAACAAGAGAACAACAACAACAAGAATGATGAATTGTATCCATTTATGTTGAGGAAAGAGGCGGAGATCTACAACAAGGGTTTGGAGCAATGGCAACAACAGATCTATTATCATTACCAACAACAACAACCACCACCACATGAACCACAAAAGCTAAGATCAGATGACGATAACATTGTTAATTGTGATGAGTGGGATATTAATGATAATAATAATAGATCAACGAGGTTGATGATGATGATGAGGCAAGGAGGAGGAGGTGGTGGTGGAAGAGGGGTGAATTGTCAAGACTGTGGGAATCAAGCGAAGAAGGACTGTGCACACATGAGGTGCAGGACGTGTTGCAAGAGCCGAGGGTTTCAGTGTCAAACCCACGTCAAGAGTACTTGGGTTCCTGCTGCCAAAAGGAGAGAGAGACTACAACAACTCTCTGCTAATTTTCAACAACAGCAGCAGCAGCAGTTAAGTCTGAGAGGACTTGGAGGAGATCATGATGATCAGACTAGTATACATCCCAAAAGGCACAGAGAGATTAATAATCCAACTGATTTCTCTCTAGTCTGCACTCCTTTACCCACCACCACCTCAGGTAATGTTGTTCTACTCTACTACCTAGCTTACATATATATATGTATGTATGTATGTATGACAAAAACGCACTCAATTTTGATTAATTTTTTTTAACACGCCCTCTATTTTGATGGGTTTCTAGATTCAAATTTGAAAGAGGGTATTGAAGAACAACAACTCTTAATCAAGAACAGTAATGCTAGCTAGCTATAAATCCTACTAAATATGTGTGTATAGACTATAGACAGAGAGGGGGGAATACACATACATATATATATATAGATATATATACAAATATAGATCAATACCCAAGAAACTGAACCATATCGTTTGCGTGTGATGAATCAAGCTAGCCCACATGCTTTTCCATATTTTGCTCCTCTCTTTTTCCTACTTGTTCCACCACTGTTACGGAGTAAAACTGACGACAGGGTCAACGGATGTTTTTTAGAAAGGAAATATTGTTTTCTTTTATGATTTTGGACTACCACTGGTACTACTATTTGTGTTAAGCTCTCAAAAATATATTCACACAAATGTTTGAGCTTTGATTTGTTGGGTTGATATAAATTAGGGTTAGAAATGGGTCATTATCCGGCAGAGGTGAATTCTCCGGCGGTCTTTCGGTGTGTAAGAGTGAGCGGAATGAATGATGCGGAGGAGCAGTATGCGTATCAGACGGCTGTGAACATTTCAGGCCATGTCTTCAAGGGAATTCTGTATGATCAAGGCCCCGAAAGCAGTTACGCCGCCAACGTGGCCACGGGGGAGGGCTCCTCCGGCGGTGGTGCTCAACAATTCAATCTAATCACTGCTGCTGCTGCTGCAACCACCACTAGCAACCAAGCTGTCACACTGCTTGAACCTTCTATGTACCCAACTCCACTTGGTGCTTTCATGGCGGGTACGCAATTCTTTCCACCACCAAGACCTTGAAAATCAAGAGCTCTCTCATTTAAATGCCATTACACATACAATATTGTTCCTAGCTACTTTTAATGTTGCTCCAAGGCACATTAATTACTATATTAATTAGTAATACCCATTCATGAACTAGAAAAAGGAAAAGGAGATTAGGAAATGTATGGAGATGGAGTTGGGGATGTTTAATTAAAAAGTTTAATTAGTGTGTTTTTAAATATTATTGATGAACTTAGGGATTAATTACCCTATTGTCAGCGTTTTTTTTGGTTAATGGTAAGCTTCCCTATTGTTAGTGTTCTTTTATAGTATTTGCTACATATGGATTTGTGCCTTTAATTTCATTCTTTTTTTCTTTTGTGGGTTTCATTTTGTTTAATTTTCAACAATATGGGGTTTGATTAATTTTGATATTCAATTCACTTTTCTGGTTGGTTTAGAACTCGAAGCCTGCTTTTTTCCAGTATATCCGTGGCTTGCCGGAAAAGAATGGGACGAATTAGGTTTCGTGTTTGGTTTAGCCTTGACTTTGAATAGTTTGCTTTGATTTCTAGGCCATTCCTTATAAACAAAGAAAATTTTAAAAAGAAAAAGGCAAACGAGTAATTTGTTGGTGGCATAGCTGTGCAAGTCTTTCATGCATTGGCATTTAGCATACCAGTCTAACTAAAAGGAGTAACCTTGAAGAAATCTCTCTGTGAAGATATACATACACATATATATATATATATATATATATATATAGATCACTGCATTTACGAAGAAAAAATAAAGGCTGTTGAAGTTGACATGCATGGAATCATGGATGTGACCTACATAGAGAGAATGGGGAAGGTTGCTTCTTATGTTTAATGCTCCTGCAACTATGTGCATGTGATGCTTGTTATCTGTGGAGTGTAGACATATTGACATAGCTAGGTTATGGTACATATGATACCATATTAAAGATTAAAGGCCATTTTATAGGCTACTAGATTTAGTGTGTAGGTACAGGCAGTTAAGGAAACAGAAAGATGAAACAAACTTTCCTTATTTCTGAAATTTTTGACCCAGAACCACTACTCTTATCTATTTTTTATCCATTAAAAGATGAGAGGGTTGTAGTCTTGATAGGATGTACATTTTCTCCATCTTCATTAATTTCTTTTGTTTTCTTTTTTAAATGCCTCTTTGATTACATTGATTTTTTTTATATTATTTTTTAATATATATATATTTTTTAAAGTTAAAATAATTACGCACACACCTTACCTTTGTTGTCACCGGAATTCAAACTTCGACCTCCCCTTTGGGGAGGAAGGGGTGATACCGCTTGATTATTTGGTTTTTTGGTTTAATTACATTGATGTTGCCTACTTGCCTTAGGAGCATATTATAGGTCCCCTAAAATTGAAATTAGAGAAAATTTATTTTATTTTCTTTTTTAAATGCCTCTTTGATTACATTGATTTTTTAAAATTTTTTTTTTAAAGTTTAAACAATTACGCACACACCTTACATTTATTGTCACCGGAGTTCAAACTCCGGACCTCTTCTTTGGGGAGGAAGGGGTGGTACCGCTTGACCATTTGGTCTTTTGGTTTGATTATATTGATGTTGCCTTGGGAGCATATTATAGGTCCCCTAAAATTGAAATTAGAGAAAATTTAATTTATTTTATTTTATTTGTCTGCTAACTACTGTTTGGCCAAAATTATAAAACCACGTTGCTTAACGATATTGCAGGAAACTAACAGTGATTTTAGGTTTTAAAATATTTTATTAATACAATTTTACCCTCAAATATTTATTTTAGGTTCCACACTCGTCTTTACTCTCCTAAAATATGTCACAACCATATTTGTTACATTCCCATTTCTGTTCCCTCCGTTATTTTTGTTGTTGTTAGTTTACTCTAATTTCTTAAAAGTTTTTTCTAAAATTGTATTTTTCTTGTCAAATAATGTGAATACAAATAATATTCAACAAAATATATATAAAAAATATATATAATTACCAGTCATGCAATGGAACCCTCCCATCATTGTTTTTTATGCAAAACTACTATATAAATAAAAATAGAATGGTTTTTATAATATCTTTTTCATAAATATTTTATTTTTTTGTATTTTGATTTTGAAATTTTTATGATCAATTTTGACATTAATATCCATTGTCGTTGTTTTATATGTTTATATTTTAATATAGTATCTTTAATAATAATATTATGTGTAGAAGATATTTAAGGGAAAAATGTAATATATGCAATATTGAGATTTCAGCTTTTGCATTTAACAAACAATCTTAATGAATTCAGCGCTTAAAATTAATACAATACTAAATAAGTTTTCAAATTAATACAATATTAAATAAGTTTTCAGATTAATACATTCAGCACTTAAATAAATTTAATACTTGAAATTTTCCATGCTTAATTTTTAGTTTTATCAAACAGTACTAAATTTCCTACTATTTCAAATTCAAGCCATTCATTCAATATCACCAAACATAAAATTGAAATTAGAGAAAATTCAGTTTTTTTTATTATTTTTTATTATTATTTTTCCTGATAAGTCACAGTTTGAACTTTTAACTAAATTTCTTATAATTTCAAATCCAAATTGATGATTGAGTGAGTACAGCAAAACATAACATTGACACCAATTTAATTAACTCTGCCATGATTAAGGGTTTGATAAAACTAAATCATAATGTAGACATAAACCATAACATCTGGATTGCATTGCATATCTCTTAATTCTGTAATTGTAAATCCATCATTTTATAAAGTTTGGATCATGATTGTGGGTTTAAAGTTTTGCAGAAAATTAGTCATTTTAACATAAATTAGTCATAATTTATAGGGAAAAATCTCAATATACCTGCAAATGTCAAACTCGATCCTAAAACATATGTTTTTTTTTTTTTTTTTTAATAAATTTCTTGAGAAATTGAAAAAATATGATGTCAATAATATTCTAGGACCTCTATTAGGATAGCAGGAGACAATCTGGTCAGCAATAACAATATGAAAATTCAACTAGAAAGCAGGAAATATATGAGATTAATTGTTTTTATACTTTCTGTTATCATGGGAATTCAAACTCAATTATTTATTTAAGCTAAGTCCTTAATGGTAAAACCACGTCTAAAGCTAGACTGGGATAATCCAGGTACCATACCTTCAAGTTATTTAATATTTTCTCAAAAAGTATATTAAAATTTGAACAATTCAATATTATGGTGAGAAATATATATATATCCCCGCTGAAATTATCTTCATGAAAAGGAATATATACAAACGGGTTATTTGCACGTAGTTGCAAGCTGAACAATGATTTTGATATCAGTAAATAATGGTTACAAATATTTGCCAGGTGAGAGGATGTTACATATAGTTCATGTACATACACCTTATATATATATAGTTTGGGTGTTGGAAGGTACTGTTTTATATATGAATAGATAAATAAGTTTTCCTTGTGATACAGTGAGCCGCCCCAACTTTCTCTCCCTCCTCTCTCTAACTTTCTCACTCTAACCCCTTCATCTTCTTCGTCTCTCCGCCTCCCTTCCATGGGAGTAGAGAGATGATGGTCGTCTCTCACGGCTGCAATAAATTCGACGTGTTTCATAAGTGCGTTTTGTGGGTATTTTTTTAGGCCGTTTTGTTTTTCTTTAGCTCGATCTGTTCATATTCGGTTCGTTTTCAAATTATATGGGCAGATTTGTTGTTTCCTCCGACTAAATCTCTGATTTAGGTCGGTTTTGATTTTCCCTGTCTCGATTTCATCTTTCTCCCCTTGATTTGATCTTGTGCGAGGTTTATTATGTGTCGGAGCGCCTTATGATTGTACCTTTAAAGCGGTTGTCGTGCTGATGGGCAGACCTTTCGGTCTTTTCAGTTTGCTGCGTTCTCCCATAGTGGTTCCGTTTGTAGACTGTTAGGTTCTGTTTCCTCTACAAATTTAGAGTCTGTTCTTTATTTATTTGCTTTGTTTCAAGATTCGTAAGCCTTTTCTAGCTCTGTTATCTTGACTTTTGACTTAGCTTTCGTGCCTTTGAATGACAAAATAATAATAAAAAATCCTAACCTAGTTGACTTGAGAGAGCAAATTAATGAGGGGTTAATGATTCAATGTTGGATCATTGCCTACAAACTACTAGGCAAAACTGACATGGTTTCAAACGTGAATACAGTTAATATACATTATTTGAGACTTTTGTTATACGGAGTATAAAATAATAATATTTGATAATAATTTATAGGAGAAATTATAACATGTTCGAAGTATACACAAGTAACTCAAGTAAACTGTGAGTTATATATGTAAGATCGATATGTGTGATGGTGTAATAATTCTTATATGGTCAAAATTGGAAGACAGACAGGAGTGCTGTATATTTTAATTGATATTATAGAAGATCATTTCCTTTTTCTTTTTCTTTTTCTTTTTTTTTTTTGTTTTTGTGTGTTTTTTTTTTTTAATTAATCAATTTATTCAAAGGAGACGCGATACAAGCGAAGAGGGGCATCCCCCAAACAAACCAAACAAAGAAGAAGCTGAAGACACAGAGAAGCAAACAAAACAAAGATAGCTTCATCCATTCCAGCAACGCGGGAAATGAACAGATTGCCACACTTCAGCACCATTTCTATATAGAATACATTGATCGATCCCTGATTGAGCAATGCCCCAGTCAAGCAAATTAGTCATAGTACTAAACTTGTTTTTCGCAGCAAAGCCACATGATGAAACAGTGTTTAGGAACTCCACAAGGGAACCAAACAGCTCTGTAATGACTCCAGAAACAATGATGGGTTCTGAAGTCTTCATAAGCATCCTTCACAGCAAAAGGTCTATTGGAAGAAGCCCAAACCACCACATCAACTCCTAATCTAGAAGGGACAGGGTATTGATTTATTAGAGAGCCAATGTCCCCAAGGACAGCAGATTGGAAGACTGGACAATCCCACCCTCCATTGTATACTCTTTGGGGAGACTTGATTCATAAACTACTCTATGCTTTGTAGT